ATAGTGGATGTTCAAAGCGGCCATCTTCATTTCTGTCTGCGTCATCGACTCATCTAATTGGAGTCCGGTGGACGTTAAAGAAGCGTATAAGGCTTTGAAGAATTGCCCTCACCGAACGAGTTGCGGAGCGGATAACTTTGACACAGACAGTCATATTCATAGTACACCATTAAACGTCGCTTCATCCACAACAATCTCCTCGCTGCTTGTCATACCGCAGCCATCATCATGTCAAAACTCCGCGTCCTTGTTAGCGGTGCCTCCGTGGCTGGCCCGGCACTTGCCTACTGGCTCGTTCGCGCAGGATGCAAAGTGACAGTCGTCGAGCGTGCACCAATCCTTCGAACTAACGGTCAAGGGCTTGACGTCCGCGATACCGCTCGAGACGTGATTAAGCGCATGGGCATCTTCGACCGCATTCGGGACAAAAGCTCACACGAGGAAGGCCTCAAGATCGTTGACAGCAACAACCGCTGCTTTACGCGCTTTGGTGTTGACGAATCCGGCAAGGGCGACAGTTTAACCTCCGACGTTGAGATTCTCAGAGGAGAGCTGGCAGGGATTCTCTTCGATGTCACAAAGGACGACGTCTCCTACATCTTCGGCGACATGGTCGAGAGCCTGGAAGAAACCGAGAAGGAAGTTGGCGTAAACTTTGCCAACGGCACACCGACCACGGCTTTCGACTTGGTAGTCGCTGCGGATGGCCTTGGCTCGAAGATCCGTGGTATAGCTTTCGGAAATGGCTACTCTCATATCAGATCTCTGGACTCTTACGCGTCGTACTTCTCCATTCCACCCGGTGATACAGACACGATGTGGTCGAGAGTTCACTGGGTCAAGGGGGGTCGGTGCATGTTGCTGCGACCAGACAACGTGGGCCGGACCAGGGCTTTCCTGTCTCTTACAGCCTACGACAAGTCAGACGAAAGACTTGTTCGACTTGAAAAGGCTTCGAAAGAGGGCATTTCAGCGCAAAAGCTTCTGGTCCAAGAGCTTTTCCAAGACGCCGACTGGGAAATTTCTCGGATATTGAAGGGTATGCACGAATCTGAGGACTTTTACATGCAACATGTCGCACAGGTCCGACTGAATCGCTGGTCGAGCGGTCGTGTGACTGTGGTCGGTGACGCGGGTTATGCTCCTTCACCATTTACTGGCATGGGCACATCGATTGCTTTCATCGGCGCATACGTTCTTGCCGGCGAGATATCTCGACAGCCGAACGACATTCCCGCCGCGCTGGAGTCCTACGAGCGTGTCCTGCGCCCGTACGTTGAGAGCGTCCAGAAGCTGCCTCCTGGCATACCATGGATCGTCAACCCTCAATCGGCGCTGGGCATCAGAGTGTTTGAAACCGTCATTAGGGGGGTAGGGTTGCTGTCGGCGACGGGGCTAGCCACCTTGTTCTCGAAACTCGCAGCGTATCTGCCAATCGGTGGGGACTCGTTCAAGTTGCCAGACTACGAGGCGTTCAGGCAGTAGGGTTTAGTTCAGTACCTTGCTTTCATAGCATATCCCGGATACACTTCTCTCAAACTTATGTATACTCGTATCGTGCATCATTTGCCCATGCATTCTCAGCAACATGAAGAGCATCACATCCTATCCAGGGGTATGTGATAGTCTTCAGGGGTCTAGACTTGCCCGTAGCACGAGCTTCGCTAGATCGTGCTATTCGGCCAATTTACCAACAGACCTGGGCTGAACATTGCATGCTTGAAGCGACAGAGCAAGCAGGCAGAGTTTGGCAGAAGCGGGATCGCGAGGGTTAGGGTCAAGACGCCCAAAACTCCGACGAGGGAAGCTCACATCAGCTTTAGCTGAGCCTCACTCGCTCATGCATCTCGTGGTCTTTAGATGCACAGCCTCGCTGGCTGACTACCTGCTGTCGCCTTCGCGATGGGAACATAGCGACTTGCTATTGTGATGTTTTCCGGTCGCCGTGCCGTGCAATGTTATGACCTCAGTGCCTCTTTGATCCCTCTGGTCCTTTCGCCATGGTGACGCCAGGCTTCGGCTTCTCAGCCGGCGACTTCATCAAGGCCATCCGAACACTCAATACTACCAGGAAGGCTTTGAAAAAGACACAGGTGGTGCTGCTGCAGATTATGAAGAGACACTCCAACGGCTGAACCACCTTGGCGTCGTGCTCCCGCATCGTCAAGCCTTACAATCAGAAGAGTCGAGCCTGCGCCAAGATCATGTCATTTGGCACGCTGCAAACGCTTGCTATGAGCAGCTCCAGCGTTTCATAGTCAAGCAAGAAAAATTGCCGCCAGATATTGGCCCAGCAGCGGACAAATGTAATCCTCGCTTTCCGCTGGACACAATGGACACTGTCCACGAGCACAGAAGTCGGCAGGCTGTGGAAGCAGATCGAGCATGATTTAATGACCACCAATCTTGCTCTCAGCGTTCATGCTATTTTGGTGCTTGCCTAGTCAGGACAAAAAGAGTTCGATCTGACCCCATTTAGCTCGAAGAAAGATGGGAGCTGCATGCAATTTGCGACTGAGCATCACCATTACCACAAGTGCTTCTGTCAGGCAGCAGAAGAGCCAACTCGGTCACCGGACTGCGCAACTGAGCCTGCTTAGTATTGGTCTAGCACCTCAATTAGAACCGAAACCGAAATCGAGAAGCGAGTCCGTGGAAGAGCTGTACGCAAAATATGGGACCAGTACGAGCATGGGATTGACCTACCTCCAGGGCGGTACTACTTTTGCGTGCCCTTTCGCTCGCGTCCATTCGTTGTACTCCGGTTATATTGGATATCAAGTTTGGAAGCTTGCTCTCTCAAGGCCCGCACTCAAGGAATGAGCAGGCATACGCGATCGGTGCAAACGCTTGAAGTCAGATCTCTTTATTTAGATTACAGCACGCCGCACGACGAAGTACTACTCCGCCATCTCCTGCCTCTGCCAAAATTGAAGTATCTCAGCATCGATTCACTAGACGAAACCCATATTGCAGTGCTGATTAGAAAAATAGCTAAAAATACATATCTTCTGACCCTGGAAGCCCCGGTCGAGTCTCATCTCTTATTGCAGTTGCCCATGATCAGATTAACGTCTTTGCGGTTGGAAGATATCTACACAGACGATGATTTTGACAATAGGATGGTCATAGACGCCCAAATTTTCAGCGAGATGCAGCGCTTGCGCTCACTTGCAATCGATCATGCAGGATTCAGCGATATTCGCCCTTGCGAGTCTGGTCCAGAACTTCCACAACTTGACCAATTGGAGCTTCGCCTTCCAAGATCAACAAGTTTTGTTCATCGTATGTGTATCAAGCTAGAGACCCTTGTCCAGCCTAGGCGTCCGCACCAAAAGACGCTGTCGACTTCTGCTCTCAAGGCCTCTGTACAAGGTAAAATCCGACTCTAGGGGGCTATAAGTCATCAATCGGACAAGATGAGGACGGGGAGGTAGTGACAGAGGATGTGGTACATTCCAAGACTCAACCGGCGTTCCGTACACGGCCGGCGGGCTTATCGAGCGCCTAATTAAACCGACTTCGTATCCTCCAGCTCGGACGGAGTGCTGCCGCCTGCCTTTGGACCTAGGAGGCTTGTTAGGAGATTGCTGATTGGTAAGTTGTGGTGGGTCATGTGTAGCACTAACGTCCTCGATGCAACGGTGACGTCTGAGTGTGGATTCGATAACAATTATGCCGCGTTGGATCACCAGGGGCGAGGTCTGAGTGGCTGCATATGGCACCTACACTTGTTGACGCCTAATGCTCATGGCTCGATCGTAGTTGGGATCGACGATCGCATGGTCTTCGCACGCAATGCAGGATCTTAAAGAGATGGACCGGTCGCTGGCTGTTTCGCCAGCTCGATTCACTTCGTCCTTTTCATTCACCAGGCCAGCGAAACAAACCCCTACTTGTGACAGTGATGACCTGTCCTGGCTATCTGCAGAATGGACCTTTTACCTGCCTCTCAACCTCCACGCGCGACAGATCTTAATTACGACAGGCGTCCTGCGGCGCGGAATCGTGGTCTGATTACTGGACTCGAAGACGGCAACCGTGACGTCTTTGGCGGTCGCTCGGAAGATGACAATTCTCCATCCGTCGAGGAAATAATGTTTGCTTTCAAAGATTCAAGGAAGCCAAATGGGCGGACTCAGGCATGAGGCACAAGAGATGTGTGGGAAAGCGGTCGTACGCTTTCAAGCCTACAACTAGTATAAGTTACTGTTTAGTGACGGACTACTAGTGATCACCTTTTGGTCTAGTCGTAACGAGCATAACCCGTCCCGCTTCTACAAGCGGGAGGTCTTTGAGAACCGTATTTAATATGCAAAACAGCCTTGTATGCCAGTAGTGCTTTACTGCTGTCGCCGCTAGTTAGTAAGCTGAGAATCAGAGGATAGATAGCGTGTTACCTACCAAATTAGTATGCGTAAGGACGTTTTTCTCCAGCATGTTCTCCATCTAGATATCCAATCCTACCTCTTCAGCTGCTTTCATTACTTCCATTGCTTCAATCGAGCCACCCCCCCTTCAATGGCTGGATCATTGTGTGTAGAATAGGTGTGGAATGGCTGGAATAATATGACTGGAAGGAGAGTAACTGGAGCAGGTACTTGATTGGCTATATAGATGACTAAGTAATCTTTACTTGTATACCCTCTCAGAAATACCAGCTTTATATGACCAAACCCCCAGTAATTTCAAAATGGTTATTTGAAACTATGCTTTATATACAAAACGGCAAACACGGCTTTTTATATCAATTACTTCGGTATTCAATTATTCTTAACACTATTGATTAAGATTACTATTTTGTTTTAAGCTTTAGACGCTAAAGTTAAACGGTAAAAAAGATCTCGTAAAATAGCGTCGAGACTATCGCGAATCGGGCGAGGTACATATTTACCTTATCAAGCGCGCGTCACGCAAAGTATTCACAAACCACAATTCGTGCTCCTTCTTTGCCTCTCTTTTCAGTCTACCCAGGGCCTCTCTACAAGTGACCCTCCGGAATGGCAACTACTATTTCCTCTCACCTTAGGATTCCAGTACCTCAGCCCGCTAATCAGTTCGGCTCCAGTCCTCCAGCCCTCTCTAGAAAACGCTCGCTCTCAGAATTATATAACAGCAGCTACGGGGAGTCAGAAGGCACTCCCACACCCAAGACACGCAAGGCACGGCGCGCTTGCTCAAGACCTGGCTTCAGCTCTGATCCAAGTAGCCCAACTTTTTACAGCACACCTCCGTCAGCCCAAGTACCTCGGGATTCTAGTATGGAGAATTCAGGGGATGAGTCGGACGATGTGTACGATCAATTCGATCTTGGAGACTTCACGAAGGAGGAGATTAAAAGATACGAGGCGATGGTAGGCCCGGGAGAAAGACTTCGAGATGCTGCGCCACCGGAGCAGTCGTTTGCTGAAATGCGAGAGACCTCGTGTGAGAGACTCCATGTCTTGATGCTATTAGCTTGCTGAACATTAAGGCAGACCAAGCCAGCCTCGTTCGTTCTGGCCGAGATACCGAAGGCAGCACATCCGTTACAGTACTTCCTCGTGAGCTGTATGAGTTAGTCAGGGCGGGTATTGCAAATGCAATTGAACATGCCATGTCGGAAAAGGTTATCACGTATTATGATGCTCCGGGCCTGGAAACCATTTTTATGGACGAAATTTCCGCACCCGCTCCGCAGATTCGTCAATTCATTCGAGATCATATATTCGTCACGTTATCGTGCCAATCCCCAAATTCGTTTCGGAGGCAAGAGCTACGAAAAGGCTGTCATCCATCGGGGTCTCTAAAATCTGCGCAGAGGCAATATGAGCAAGATGTGTACGACGTGGCTCGTAATTTGGGCCTTTCCATGGACGAAGCAGAAGAATGGGTGCTCGAAGCCAGGGAGTTTTGCAGTGAGAAGGACTATGCTAGCATGAATACTGAAGAGAGCAATGGGGTTGATGGTTCTGATGAAATCATGTACCAACCTTACATATCATCACTATCGGAGCGATCAACGTTGCCTTTACCTCTGGTCGAGGACTTTCACAAGGCGCTTAACAACCCCACCCAAGCTGAAGAAAAAAGCACTAATAGCGAAGACGAGACCGAAAAGACCAAAAAACTTCTTAGGGAAAGCAACTCTGAAGGGGCAAAGCAGGTTCAACGCTACCTTCAACTTTTGAAGAATTCCGGCTATCACTCTGCATATGACGGTATTATGCTCAGACTCCAATTCCTCGGTGATGAACCTCTAATCGACAACGTTGCCGGTTTACGTGAGGAGATCGATAAAATGGAAGCAACGGGCAAGACGAAGGAAGAGAAGGCTGACAGAAAAGATGCCAAGAGAGCCCGCAAAGCAGAGGTCCAAGCGCAGAATAGAGCAAGTCGGCAGGCTGAGAAAAAGGAAAGCCAAGAGGGCAACGACTATGAAGCAGGAAGGCCCGAGGAGCAAGGATCTTTGACAAGCAACTCCGAGCACCAACCCAATGTCCAGCCTCTCGAAGACCAGGACAAGCCTCTGAAACGGAAGAAAAGAGGGAGCAAACGCAAGAGCGAACTTGAGCTTCCCGTTCATTGCGAGGTACCCTCCGAAGGCCATCACAAGCACGAAAAGGGCAAAGTAGTTAGGGACGCGCGAGACGCTAATTCCAAGAAAACCAGGAGCAAGACAGGTGTGGGGTCTCAGCACTCGCCCTTTTTTCAACGGAGCAGCGGTCCCAAAGCAAAGAAGAAAGAAGCCTTCAAGAAGGCCGAGCAACTAACGGGTTTTCAACCTCCGATGATACAGTAAGCGTGACCGCTGTTGTTGAGGGGGTGTCGTCGTCTGAAAATAGGCCGCCACCAGCAGATCCCCCCTCCACTCCCGTCAAGAAGAGAGCCCCCTTTACTGTCACCTCGCCGCCAAGCTACGACTCAAGCCCATTATCCAGCCTCCGCTCGACTCCTTCCCTGCCATCTTTCGGCAATAGAGAAGTTGAAAACGACAACAAAAGAATACGTGAATTGTCACACAATTGTGCCCGCTCAAAGCCCGTTGCATTGGCACAAAAGCTACGAAACAATCCCACTCACCTGCCCACTCCTGCCGCAAGTCCCATCTCGCTGCGAGATTTGAACAAAAGACTCTTGGAAGGTACCATTTACCAGGATGGAATCGTACTCGCAAAGCCAGAAGTGCCTACTCCTACTATTTTATCTGTTCCGAAGAAGCCAAGGAAGCGCTCAGTGATTGTTTCTCCCTTCTTTGCAAAATTGCCTGCCAAGAAACCCAAAGCCAGCGACAAGGTCTCTTGCATTCCTTTCCCACCACTCCAATCCACATCCTTCGGCTTAGTCCAGGAACAATTATCTCATGACCCGTTCCGCCTTCTCATCGCCGTCATCTTCCTCAACAAAACGCGCGGCTCCGTCGCTCTTCCCGTCTTCTACGAACTCATGGAGCGCTATCCTACACCTGCAGACCTCGCCGCAGCCAATCAAGAGGACGTCGTCGAGATCATCCAACATCTCGGCCTGCAGAACCAACGTGCGAAGAAATGTATCAATCTAGCCAAAGCATGGCTCGAGCGTCCACCGGAGAAAGGGAAAAGGTACCGAGTGCTTCACTACCCGAAAAAGGATGATGGCAAAGATGTCAGACTTGGCGACATTGTTGGCGAAGAAGATGAGCGAGTCGCTTGGGAAATCGGACAACTTCCAGGCATTGGTGTCTACGCCATCGACAGCTGGCGCATCTTCTGCCGCGATAAATTGCGCGGTCTGCCGACTGGCTTGCCCAAGGAGCTCACTTCGGAAGCTAAAAAGGAGGAGTTGCAGAAAGAATGGACCAGAGTCCTGGCGGGAGACAAAGAGCTACGAGCCTACCTACGTTGGCGCTGGTTACGGAATGGCTGGGAGTGGGACCCCGTGAGCGGAGAGCGAAAGAAGGCCGATGAGGGTGAGCTCGCCAAGGCAGACAAGGGTGGAGTTATATATGAGAGTAATGATGGAGACATGGTAGTCGGAGCTGCCAAAGGCGAAGGCCACGATGCTGTTAAAGCTAAATCAGAAGTCGGAGAGGAGGAGGGTGGGAATTAAAGTGGAGAAGGCGAATATATGATCGCTGAGCTCAAGACCGGAGATGCGCGGCAGAAGGCGGGCGAAGAGGCAGAAGCTATGACAGCAAAAGCCGCAACATAGCGATCATGTTGGGAAAGAACAGAAAGACGCCGAAGCCACAAAAGACGAGCCAGGAAATGGAGACAAGTCTGCTCTGGAACGACTTGGCTCAATGCAATAGTCATCAAACAAAGCATCCGTCGCATTTTCACGGCTAGTACTTTAATAGCACTCAGCATACACAACCAAAGCTCGAAGCTAGACACAGCAGCGCGAGCAACTCAAACTACCTTTACATGCGACCCATCACTTCTAGACGCAATTGCACTCTCCTGATCTCAAACTTACATTTGTCCACAAGGTCAATTCACATCTGCATACCAGATGTTGCCCAACAACAACAACAACACCAACAACAACAACAACACCAACAACAACAACAACACATGATCAAATAACAACCAACCCCCCGTCCCCCACAGGCCTGTGGTACGAAACCCCTCCCTTGACCGACGTTTTCGTAGGATGGGGTCCCACCTAACCTTCTCGCACCAAGCGACAACGTGCTCGATCCCCGTCTGGAATAGTATGCCGGCTTGCCTACCCTTCTCTTTCCCCAAAGAAATACGTACATACTGACCACCTACCCCCGCCGCAATGCCTCCGCTCAGATATCTATAGAAATCAGAGGAAGCCCCTCGCGGACGGAGGCCACATCGTGCCTGCCCGACCGAGGCCTTTCATACACATTCCAGACGGACGGCTAGACAGATTTTTCAATCCTGTTGACCGGCTTTCGCCCTTCATCTCTCGCAGTCACTTTTATTCCAAATAGGTAGAAGTGCGTGTGTATTCTGAGCACGGAGGCCCATTTCGTTCGGCAGCTGGGGAGAATCGGCGTATACCAGATGAGTAACACAAAGTGTTAGAGAAGGATGTCAAGTTATGGACCATCATTCGTCCCTCGCGGATATGTGGTATAGAATCCCTTCAGTGGGGTTTTCTTAGGGTCATGGTTCGGTGTTCGATAGCATGTATGGTTCGGTTCGACGGCACAGATCGTTGGAGCCGCCCAACAACGAGAAAGGACTGGTTCATACCACAGAACTATACCTGAGCTTTTTGTTGAAAGTGCCTGTACTATTGGCCCCTGTATCAGACAGAAAGCGCCAGTCCGCTGTCAATTTTTCGTTTCTTTTTGAATCGTGGAGAGTGGAACATGTTTGGAGTCTTGGAGAGCGAACATAATCTTATACTTTTAATCCGACTGGACTGCTACTCGCCTGTCTATGTCATGACTTATGTACAATGCGTTGACCTCATTACCAGGGAACCCATGTCTAACTTTAATACCGCCTTGACTCATCATTCGTATCTGACACTAGGATTCTGCGGTCAGTTCCCTAGCATCATAGAACAGATCTATGATGCACCCAGCGGACCAGGCTTGAGTTGGGGACTTCATTATGTTAGTAGTTGCATAAAACATCGACAATGAGGGACGACTTACCGAGTCCCGACAGAAATCCCCGTTCTTGTTCGTCAATTCCGTCAATCCAGCCCATGGCGATTCCTGGATAGCTTTCTTGCAACCGTGTAACCTCCTCGTGATCTGCTGGAAGGCCTCTGTCCTTTCCTCCTTCGTGTGCCTCCGCATCAAGTCGAATTTCAAAAGAGCACGCAAGAAGAAGCCCGTGGGCCATAACCATTCAGGCCCTTGGTGATAATTGCGACCTTTGGAGGTGCGAAAGTCAGTCGAGTCTTCTGAATTATTATAATACGGTCGATAGTTGAGATCCGAGGGGTCGAGGGTAGCCATGCCAGTCGGGCCGCGTAGGATCGTGTCAGCCATTTCCAAGGCATGTAGAGCTTTTGCAGGAGTGAAAAGTTGAGGGGCGACGGTCATAGCAATAGGAAAGTTCGCTCGAAGCTGGTAGTCCTCGTACTCTTTCCCAGACTTGTAGAGATCTTTGTAGATGCCTCGGCGGTTGACGATGGCGGAGTTGACATCGTACTTTTCGTCTTCGTTGGAGTCTGTGGGAATGTAGTAGCAGCGCTCGAAGTTGTGCTGAATCTTTGAAGCCCACTCCGCGAACAAGATGCTCTGACCACCGGCTGTTTTAACACCCCTGAGCTTATACTTGCCCTCACTGTGTAGATGGGCAACCCAGCTCAAAGTGCTGAAAGCAAGGCCAGTGATCTCAATAGCAGCGCCATCTCTTGGTGTACCTGGCACGCCTTTGCTTCCGGCTTTTTCGCTTTCTCCCATCTTGTCCATCCATGTACCGCAATTAAATTGATTCCCTCCAAAGATCAGTCCTGTCTCCCAGTCCACATTGACGTCAATCTGAAATCCCTCGGACTGCATCTGCATATCTAAACCAGGTCCAGCATTGGCTTCCCGAAATGATAGGCCACTAGCATGTCTTTGCAAGGCTTCTTGGACAATGTCTTCGATAGTGGACTCCCTAGAGTACGCGCGAGAGTCGTCAAATTCGAAATATGTGTCGTCATAGGGCAAGAAACGTCTTGCGACTTTCTCTTTGAGAATGTCACGTCCGTTAGGCACCATGTTTGTGTAGTCCTGGATGTTTTGCAAAAAGAACCAGATCGAGTCTCTTGAATTATAGCGAGGGGCTTTCCCGTCACTTAAAAGGTTTGGTATCATGCCATGCTTAAGGACACTGGCGAAGGCCATGATATGCTCTCGAGCGTCCGCGTACCTACCAGTAGCGAGGAACAGCCCACGGAGGGATATGAAGACATCGCGGCCCCAGCAGCGCGCCCAGCTGTGCGAGAAGTGCGGCAGACCAGCTGCCAGACACGGAACACTCTTGTTAGGGTACAATGAGGCTGATTTGGTGTAACCAGTCTGCTGTATGCTGACCATGGCCAGACTCTGAAGGAACTCCTGACCGTGCCGGATGTCGTCACTCATGAGTTCGATGCCTCGATCCCAAGAAGCCCGATAAGCGGTCTGAATGACCAAAGCGAAGTATCTGGGCAACAGGAAGCTTGGAAGCTTTCTGATTGCATCAAACCGTTGTGCAAACCATGTGGCAGCACTTTGTAGCGAAGATCTTTTCCCAGTCTTTGCTAAACGTTCAAGTCTGCTGACTGTCCAGTCCAGTGCCCATTGCCCTTCTCGCAGATGATTACACAACGGATGACCAAGATCGTTGTTTCGGATGACGTCCTTGAGTATGCTCCACCAGCCTTGTAAGCCAGCATATACTAGAGGACCGCAGTTCGGAATCCTGTAGACACCATCATTGCCGCCAAGGAAGTCATGCTCTTCAGGCTCACATCTATACAGCACAAAGTTGAGGTCGACCAAATCCAGCTCGCGGAAAGCCTCGTCGGCTCCAGAAGTAATAAAATTGTCCAAACCTTCGGAGTGCTCAGCGCCAGGCATCCAAGTTTCAAATAAGGCTATGCTGCCGGGTGCAAATGCAGCAGGAACAGTGATCACAGTCTCATCAGCCTTTGCTTCAATGGCCACGTTTCGGAAGTCGGATACTCTACTGGGTAGACCTCTGAGGATATCCTTCTCTGTAAGGACAGCCTTTTTGGTGCTTTCAGACGTGTCGACCTCGAGTGACCAACTTCCCAAGAGCTTAGCTTTGGTGCCGCTGAGATGCACCGGCGTCAACGATCCATGACCACTGCCGTAACCCGGGAAAGCAGTATGTGAAATTGCAAAAACACCTTTCCTTGTTTGTGGGTGTACGCGATGGACGGTGATATATTCGCCTTCATGATGGACGAAGGTCTCATCATAGCCATCTTTGCTCATCATTGTATGCAGCCGGTTCATCAACTTCTTAATGCCCCCAATGCCATCAGAACCACCCTCAATCTTGACCGAGCCTTCCGAAGACGGCGACGAGTAGAGCCGCCTTTCGTGAACAATGTCGAGGAGTTTTGGGTAGACCTCGTCATAACCCATCACACTGCCAGTAGCAGAAGCACACATGTTAACAAGAGCCGCGTTGGGGAGCGTATCTCTTGCATCACGCTTCTGAGCAGGGACCTCATTGTCATGAGTGCAGTCCATGAATAGTGCATGAAGAGGACTTCTTTTGATTCGGTGGACGCGCTGTGGCTTCAAACTCATGGTGCGCATAGAGTCGTGGATACCGTTCGTATTCTTGGCTGCCCGGTTTTCCTCGTTGCTCTTGAATACCTCATCAACTTCGAAGCTACCAATGGGTCTGCCGCCATGCATGTGTACCAGTCGACTGACTTCTTGCGTGCTCCAAGCTTGCATGGCCTCTCGAATAAGAGCACTAAGACCCAACCTTTTGACGAAAACGTAATCCATTTCCTCGGACCCTGTGAACAGCTCTGCAAAGACTGCTAAGTTTGGTCTGACTGCCCGTGCTTGATCCAGGAGGTATTCAGCGACAACCAATGGCGTCGAATGGCAATTATCGATGCGAAAGCCAGCAAAGTACTTGGCCATCAGTCGAGTGTACTTGGTCATGAAGTCCCACAAGAATGGGTTATCTTCTGGTGACTTGCCGTAGCGCAATTTGACACAGTCTCCCCAAACAATGACCTCTCGGCGGAGGTAAGCCCGAGAGTCAGGCCCGGCGTGGTCCTTCAAAGCATTGGCAGCCCAGATCCAGCCATTGTTGACCAAGGATAAGCTTCGAGAATTATGCTTCTTGGTCGTGGCATTTAAGGGAAGTCTTGTGAAATAGGACTCAATGAAAGCACTTTTGGGACCGATGGCGCCTAGTTTGGGACCATTGTCATCCAACCGAAGGTACCTGACGCGATCACGTATTTGCTGTTGAATCACCTCAACGTCTGTATCGTACTGTTTATAGAACGGCTCATTGAGCTCATTGAGGATGTCTGTCATTGCCTCGAAGGCTCCGTTCTTGTCTGAATTGCCCACCTCGTAGCGCCCGTGAAGCACTGTCAACAAGGCAGCACCGTACCGAACATCAATACTGCGGTGAAAACGTGACTCTAGGCTATCAGCTCCAACGAAGCCGTTTGCTCGCAGGAAATCGGCCTTCTGCTTCAGTGACCAGTCTTTGACACCCTCCAGACCGCCCACATCAGAACTGAAGCTTTCCGGAACAGAAATCTTTCCTTGCGACCAAGCAGTCACGGTTTTCTCGATATCACGGGTCACATCGACCACGTAGTACTGCCAGAGCTTGAGAGGGTCGACGACATGTTTCTTGACTCCTGCTATCACTTCGTCGAGGTCATCCATTCTTTTCAGCGTAGTGGGCAAATTGTAGCTTTGGAGCTCGTTCCCAAATTTCAGCAAAGCATCGTCAAGTACCAGAGCAGACTCGAGCCACGGAGCATTCTCAATGTTGTATCCTGCCTCTGGATGTGCTTCGAGCCATTTGCTATTATTGGCTGTGTGGTTCCAGACGACGTCTGTCAAACCCAGTAGACCATGCTCATTCTCCATCCTTGCTATCATCGTTGCAACATCCTCTTCACCTCTTGGAAAGCACAGAGGATCGAAGGCCAATTGATCGTATATGCTGTAAGGTGAATTGGAATCTCCTCTTTCCATCAACGGCGTAAAATGGACCATGTTGTACTCCCGCTGCCCAATTCCATTAAGGTGCTTTTCCCAGTCATCTGGGTATTGGCCCATGAATTTGGAAACGACGGAGAAAATTGAAAGCGAATCCAATGGCAAAAGTGTGTCACCCAGAGTGAGCTTGGGCGAGACGTCAATGTAGTGGGTAGGGGTCTGCGTAGGTTTTGGGACTGAAAGGTCGCCCGTGGAGAAGTCTGGGAGAGGGGTGTAGGTTGTGTAAAAGGCAAAAGCACCAGCCTGGCAGATGGGAATGTCAATCCTGAGCGTCCCATTGAAATCCGGATGAAGCCTGGAAAGCCCATAGAGTCAATTGGAGTTCGCTTTGGGGCATCAGGTCACCCACTCATATCTTCGGTATTGGTCACGGCGAAAGGGATCCCCAGGAGCAGGTATGTTCACCCAGAGGTTTCCCTGTCTGCAAATGGAGCTGGTGCCCTCGAGCTCGAAGCGGAGGAGGTAGGCGGGATCTGTTGGCGGTGGTAGGTAGATGTAGCCTGAGGGAACTTCCGGGGCACCATCGTCAGTCAATGGTAAGAGCCAGACGTCCTGAGAGGCTTTGCTGTCTTGAGCGGCCATGCTGAACGCTGGGAGGAGAAGCCAAGGGCTGCTGGGATTCGGACTGAGGAAATAAGAATAGTAGGTTTATGGAGTATAATGAAGGAGAGAGGAATGATTGCGGGCATATGATGTGACACGATGAACACCAGCCATATTGGAAGCGGCAACGACTAAATGCAAGTCATTGACCATTGGGAAAGAGCGCCTGGAGAAAGAAGACTGCATTCCTCTCATCTCAACTTTTGCTAAAGTAGACATAGGGCTGAGAATGCTTGGCAAGACAAGCTTTAATGGAAGTTAAGAAACGTTCCCCCTGGTGCCCCCAGGCGGTAGGGGTGAAGCGACACCCAAGCTTGGTGTTGAATACTTACTCTTTAGACCGAATAGATCATGTACTCTTCGTCGACATTATCCAAATAGTAATGCCGTATAAGCAAGCCTTAGACTGTGGGGAGGCTTTTTGATACCTCATACTTGTAGGGAAACCCTAGAGTACGGGAGGTCGCAGGGTACTTGTACTCGTAACTTAAGGTAGGAACCAGGAGGAAGCCGTAGGTACCGCTTTCTACATGATTGCATCTTACGTATACGGTATACGAAGTGTTGGGAAGTTGATAGCGGCTGTCTAGGCTGTGCTAACAATGACTGCCAAACTTGCTACTGATATTTATGCGATGGATTTGAACCAGCGTCGTCGTTGAGTGGTGCACTACTAGGTAGCTATCTGACTTGCATCTGTCACAGCCATTATGAAGTGTTATTATTAAGTACCGTCTTCACTCTTTCTCGCATCTTGAAACAAAGAGCTTGTTTATTGAGAACTTACCTTGACTTGATTGTAGAATTTCCATCGCTTGCATCTTCCTCGTTGCCCCCATCTGCCAAAATGTCTTTTAGCGCATTCAACCGCCTCGTGTTGCATCTGCCTGTCTCCAACGTACCGTTCTTTCCATCTATGTTTCACCATTTCTCTTTAGTGAAAAGCAACCGGAATTGAAGAGCAATACGAGCGGGGATCGGAATAGTGAACTACTTCACAAGGTCACAACGAAACGCCGATGTTTCAATCTTCGATGATAAACAACTACCACACTCAATCCTTTTCTCACCATCCGTCGTGTCAGCTTTTCCGTATTATCAGCGTCAAGGATGCCAGTCTTCCAGTTCTTGACAATCGCTGCAGGTTTCATGGTACTTGTCTCGGCAGGACGGATAGGAAACCGCCAAGGAGATGTACCTATATTCACCTGCGCAAAAACGTAGGTTTCCGCCCTCCATTCCAGAGACTATCAACTAATTATTCTTCCTCAACCAGCTCCAACGCCGAAATCTGCCCAGAAACATACTGTCTGTGCTCAAGCCTTGCAGTCGCCGGAGTCTCCCAAAGCATCCAAATGTCAGAAGATGTCTACGAGACAGCCACCTACGCAACAACAGAGGCAGGAGGTTGTCCTTCCACGGATGCTGGATCGCCCGTTACGACGTCCTCGAAGACGGGATCTACTTGTGTTCCTACCCCAACTATACTACCGTCCTCAACGACGAATCGACCTTCGTCGACGCAGCCGGTTGGATGGATGATTACGTGTGTAGCTTCTCCATGAAGGATTCCTGCGATGGGCTGACCATTATCTTTCCAGGGGCACAAGCAGCTGCTTCAGCAACGGCCAGTTATATACTACCCTGAGTCCATTACAGACCTGTGGACCCTCTCTGACCGCAAGCAATTGCGTTTTCTCGGTGTATGTCTGCTATCCACCCCCATCTTTCCTTTGCGACACAATCATGCCAATATCCTACTTGGACCTGAAATGGACGATGAGCAATACCTAACGGCTAGCAGTTCTATCAACGGCTTCGAAAACGACGAGGTCGCCTTCAACGGCTGCAACTGCGTCACTACCTGGGGCCCTGTCCCCACTTCTTCACTCCAGATCTCGCAAAGCGGTTTTGGTGGACCTGGATACTGTGGTGGTCCCATCTGCGAAGTTTCTCCTTCCACCATTCCTGTTGGTCAAAGTACGAGTACTGCAAGTTCCACCATTCTTTTTGGTCAAAGTACGAGTACTGCAAAGTACTGTAGCTGCGATGCTTTCGCAAGCCTCTACTCTTCAAGCACGTATTCCCAGAATCCCTGTCTGGGATATGCGTATATGGCTCCTGTCACGGGGACGTGTACTTCGTCGTGAGTGTTATTCGTCACTTCGTCGCTGATTACATACGCTAACGCCTCTCTACAATTAGGACTTCGTGGCGGCCTGGGTACGCTGGTGGAATTCCAATTACTACCTGTGACTGCACGGAAACGGGGACTAGCCTTCCTTGGACTCATACAGCAAGCTTGGTTGGGCCTTGTTCGAGTACTCAAGCTTGGGTGGTTACCAAGCATCTTGGAGAGTCCCACTGAGATGTGGATTCCTACTTTTCGAGCTTTGCTATCATGTCGTTGATAGCGAATACAACAGAATGTCGTTAAACGGATACCACACTGATAAGTAGCAAAAGCTCTGCCAATAACTCGCAGTATCATGTTCGGCTATAGTCTTTCATAGGAATCATTCTCACCAATTTTCTGCAATCAATACTCTTCCTGAAAAAGAGAGTACTCGAGAGGCTTATGCAAAATCTTGGCACAGGGTCAAATACAGCCATCAGATTAAGACACCACAGCTTCTTACAGCTAATGGAGCAAACAAACTCGAACGTGAAGCTTAGTCTTGATCTCCAATAACATCCGAACTTGTCATTCTCTATTGGTTCAGGTAACCTGGCGCTTGCAGTCCCTCTGTCATGGTTTCAACCGGCATTCCTTCTCCAGACTTGCGCTAGGCTCCATTCGGGCTAGCTCCTTGGCGGCTTGGCACTCTGATGACTTCGGCACACATGTTACTTAGCAACCTTCATAGTTAATATTCCATTCATATGACACCACTAATATCATTATTCGATACACGGTTCATTCCCTGACATAATATTAACTATCCAACATAGCCGTGAGCTAAGCTATTGTTGCCTGCCTGCTCCTGCCTGCCTACCTACCCTGCCCTGCGGAGATCTCTCGAATATCGACTACTCAATCGCCTTGTTGTGGAGGAGATATCCGGACGATTCCCTGCCTGCCTGCCTGCCCTGCCCTGCGGAGATCTCTCGAATATCGACTACTCAATCGCCTTGTTGTGGAGGAGATATCCGGACGATTCCCTACCTGCCTGCCTACCTGCCTACCCTACCCTGCGGAGATCTCTCGAATATCGACTACTCAATCGCCTTGTTGTGGAGGAGATATCCGGACGATTCCCTGCCTGCCTACCTGCCTGCCTGCCTGCCTACCCTGCCTCTGCGGGGATCTCTCGAATATCGACTACTCAATCGCCTTGTTGTGGAGGAGATATTCGGACGATTCCCTGCCTGCCTGCCTACCCTATCTCTGCGGGGAGATATTTCGACTATCTCTCGCTTGCCTTACCTGTTACCTGCCTGCATCAGTGGAGAGATCTCTATCTAATCCGTTATGGACTCGGATCAAGAAGAAACCCGTCCTGAATCGTCATTGACGATTCAGTATTACCAGGCCCAGATTCGTGGCCTCAACACTACTATTCAGAATCTCAACACGATTACGATTCGACCTCTTTACTGAGCATGTCGACAACACACACAGTGAGCCTGCTACAATGGCAGCAAACGTACGATCTCTTCACTGAGCATGTCGACAACACCACAAAAGAGATGATTTCAGAGCTTCATGGCATGTTTGGTGATTACGATAAGCTGGCAAAGAATGACGCCCTACTCCATGACCCGGCGTTTACTATGAAAAAGAAGGAGGCATTTAACGAGTTCTATGCTCGATTTTCAGCTACCATTGCGCCATTGGACTACAGCGAAAGTCACAAGATCGCTGCACTACGAAGACCAATCCCCACTTCGGCAATGCGCCAAAACCACGAATCCACCACACCACCTCTCAGCACCCCACACCATTACTTCAAGCACCTTCCCGGGCTATTGCCCCACATTGATACCCCTGTTGCCTGCGTCCGCAGGCCTGCTACATGAGATTTGGCTCAATGCCACGGTCGGACACTGAGAGTGTCTACGAGAAAAAGTTCATAGCAATATGCTTCAGGCCATAAAGGCCAGTGCACCATGGATCATGACGATCGTCTCGCTGTTGCCGCCTCGCCGTCGCCATGATTTGGACCATAGGGACATGGCCATTTGAGGGGGGGGGTAATGTCATGGTTTCAACCGGCATTCCTTCTCCAGACTTGCGCTAGGCTCCATTCGGGCTAGCTCTGGCGGCTTGGCACTCTGATGACTTCGACACACATGTTACTTAGCAACCTTCATAGTTAATATTCCATTCATATGACACCACTAATATCATTATTCGATACACGGTTCATTCCCTGACACCCTCGGCTCTTTCTATATCCGTCAAAGTCCAACGACCTGCCATTTCACTTCGATACAAAATGTTCAAAGATACCAAGCACGGTGGTGAACATCTTGCCATGCACTGCGCCTGGGGCTCGCGCGTCTTTAAGGCAAGAGGAAAATTTATCACTCTGCGCACACCCACTTCGACTCAAACAACGCGCACGTCTTGTGGGCTTGCTATACGTTCGTTTTGTGTGAACTGGTGTTTTTGATCCAGGTCACTGAAAGGATTGGAGGTAAGTGCTTGTTACACGGGAATCCATCTAGGAATGTTGCAACGAGTCGAAGGATCGAGGGAATGCTTCACGACCGAACTTCGCTTTCAAATGGATGATAAGAAGGCAAGATTACTTACTAGGACCAAACACTCCCGTACTCATTGAAGATGATGAAGGCATCGCCCTCATTCGAGCCTCGGTTGATAAAGCTTGTCAATATAACCTCATTCTATTAGTCGCCCGTGCTCGGCCTCAATAAAGTCGTATTAGAGGATTTGGCAAATCTAACTAATTTACATTTGCCAACACATTGGTGATATCGCCTGGGGCTAGAGTGGTGCTGGTCTATAGTAGACCGACTGTCCCGTGGAGCAATTGGCGATGTGACCAAAAGCCTTGCAGTAAGTAATTACTAATTACACGTGAAATTACTGCAAAGCAATTGGTCTGACGGTCACGCTAGTAGGGCACTAGTAGGTACTTAAAATTTGGCCTATAATCCACCTGTTGAGAGGTACCATTTCCGTGTAATCTAGTCCTACTGAGGGTACTCTTGCGAGTCAAGAAATAAGGCTATACAGATCCGAGGTACGTGCAGGAGCCATGGGAGCTATGGGAGCTTCCAAGCTTGGTGGGAGGTCAATTGATGAAGAAATGATAGGTTTTGAAGAATTTTCTCCGCAAGATATTGCCAAGACTATGAATTTGGCCAATCAGAAGGCCTACATTTGGATTACTAAGCGCATTTCACGAATTACATGCTGTAATGCTCTAGAGGCCTGTAATATCACATCGCTCCGAGCAATTGCACGTAGTTGTGAATTCATCCAATATAATAGCCGCAAATGTTAGCAGTCCAACGACTGCGGAGACGGCAGTCACTATACTTGTCCATTGCTGCTCGGCTGCAGGTTGGAAAATCGTTGTCACTAGGCTGGCTGTTCGCCATTTCGGAGTCAACATTTGTCTAGAAACGCAACGAATACACGGTCATAAGGCATGCGTTAACAGCACGCGAGGCAGAAAAAGCTCACGACTCGGTATTTTATGCGGTGCGAGGCATTAAAAAGTACATAACTTTTATACATTTGTACTAAACTTTATACAGCATTTATACGGTGGGCCGAGGCACATTTCTATTGGCTTGGCATAACTTTGCCTGCCACTCATAAGCGACTTTCCTGCTATCCCACAACGCCGACTTCCCTCGAAACGATTGTGAACCTTCTGAGACCGTTCAGGTTTCTGGAGGCCAGCAGTGCAACGAGCTGGGTCCGCACGCTGGAATTTGAGGGGGGAAAAGCAGGTATGGGGGACCATGCACATCCCCCAATGCCTTCTTTCCCACTGACCTCCCATGCCAGTCGTTTCTCATCGCGCGGGGCCCGAACTACAACTTTCGCGTTGGCGGAAAGCTATGCCTCCAATCGTTCAGGGCCAAATTTTCCCCACCTTGTTGGATTTTAAAAATGCACTCCGCGACTGGGCTATCGAGCGCAATTGGACTCCGCATATCCTCGACAGCGATAGCCACCGAGTTCGCGCGGGATGTCGCTCAAGCCCAGACTGCCCTTTCCGCGTACGAGCAAATTACAGCGTGAAACGGGGAGATGCCAAGGTTACTACATGCGATGATAACCATACCTGCGAGCCATTCCGGGCAGATGCTGATCTCGGAAAACCGCATCAAGATATTAAAAGGGCTGAGACTGGCAAGCTGAAATTTTTGTTGGAGGCAGTACCAAAGCTCATGCTCGTAACCTTGGACACCAACATCCAGGAGATCATTGATGCGGTCGCGCAGAAATACGGACAAAAGATACCACTTCGGCAGGCACAGAAAGTGAAGTCGGCTTTGACAGACAGAGTCAAAGGACCATGTCGACATTGTCACCAGCTTGGCCACACACGAAGACATTGTCCGCAACTTCGAGAATCCGCTCCTGGGCCAATGTCTTTTACACAGAACTCGATTGCTCACCATAGCAATGGCCACGAGGATCATGATGATGGAGCGTATGCAGACGGAGGACTGGATTACGACCCTGATGATGGAGGGCATTCTGATCTCATGGACTATGCGAACCACAATCCCTCGAACAACAACGCATCGGGTTTCTCGCTTGGGCATCCTCAGCAATTGCCAAATAACATATTCACCCCAAGCCGGCAGAACGGTCTTCCCATAGATCCCATCCTTGCGAGCAGGATCGAACGATTGAACTCTGGGGAGGCACCAGTACCAGTACAACAGGCCGTTGCGCCTCAACAGACGCCGAATCAACTTACCGCTACCCAAAATTCACACACTACAAAGACTCCACAAGAAGCCAGACTAGAGGCTGCTAAGCTGATGCAGCAAGCAGCGAGACTCATGCAAGAAGCTGCGAGGTTGAATTCAGAGGCAGCTCGACTTACTGCATCCGCTGCGGGTGACTGAGCTTTACTAGTCTCTCGTCTACACATCTCTTAACAGGGCTCTGACTTTCTTGGGGCTCTCGCCTTCGGCGCTGTCCCGCCAGTCACCTTGGCCAACATGTAGGCCGGATATATATGTCGTTGCTAATGAGGACGACACTTTTGTCGCTCGAGACCTGATGACAATAAGCACGGTCCCAGCCCAGCTAGATATCATGTCTTGCTTCGACAAAGACAATCGCTCGAGATCAATGTTAACTTCAATTTTGTTAGGACAGGGACCGCAATGGCTTCTTAGACTGACTCTATTTATAGCTTTCACCGTCTCCAGGATGCTTGTCGGCTTCAAAGAACAAGACTGGTTTCATGTCAGAATTTAATGCAGCTCAATAATGTTGTGCTAATTGGTGGAGTAAAGTCCGGGGCCTAGCCCCACAGACGCCCAGACTTCCTAAATCTAAAGCGTTACGAAGATGGGTGCTACAAGCTCGAGTCTATCCGAAGGTTCGCCTATGGCATTCGTATAGATAGGCAGACAGTTCAATGGATGATGAAGATCTAGTCATGCTTTTCCATCAATAGCTAGCTATGAATGACAGCGATCATGCAGTGAAAGCCGCCTTTCCGTAGCCAAAAAAGAACATTGCGGTACAAATGTAATTGTGATGGTAAATTTCCATATAAAAGATGGGAAAGATTAGCCAGCCTTATCAATGGCTGAGTTGCTTTTCCTCAATCCTGCCGTTGACGTCTTTCCCACTCAAATTACATTACCAGTACTTGCTCGACGCTGCGCCATAAATGACCCCACTTTCATCTCACGAATCTCCAACTTTGCTTCGGTCATCGCCAATATAGCGACTTCTAGAGGAGCAGCTCTGCGACGTCTCGCCAACATCTCCGCTTCTCTGCGCAGTCCACTGCCACCAAAACAGCTGCTCGCAAAATCGAGCTCGTCAGGCGCAAGAGCTATGGCTACTCTGGGCTCTCATGAGCAGAAGCACAAAGTGACCGTGGTGGGGTCCGGCAACTGGTGACCTTCTGCCCATTCAGTGCCTCCAGCGAAGCTAATGGCTTATGAAGGGGTTCAGCTATAGCAAAGATAGTGGCAGAGAATACAGCAGCGCACCCTGACTTATTCCAGAAAGATGTGCAAATGTGGGTTTTCGAGGAGGAATACCAAATTCCCAAGGGCTCAAAACACTACGAGACATCTTCGAAATTCTCGACGGAGAAGCACAAGCTCACGAGGCTGATCAACCACTTCCACGAGAACGTCAAATACCTGCCCGACGTTTCCCTTCCCTCCAACATCATCGCCAACCCCTCACTGCAAGAATCCGTCAAAGACTCTACGATACTCATTTTCAACCTTCCTCACCAATTCATCAGTGGTCTCTGCGACCAAATGAAAGAATCCATCCTACCCTACGCTCGAGGAATATCTTGCATCAAAGGTGTCGAGGTGTCCGAAGAAGATATAAGCCTTTTCTCTGAATCAATTGGTGAAAAGCTAGGGATATATGTCGGTGCACTGTCAGGTGCGAACATTGCCAACGAAGTCGCTCAGGAAAAGTTCTGCGAGACCACTATCGCCTACGATCCTCCGCCAATGGACTCTCGAAACCCTACGCCTAAGGAGGGAAGAACACCTCAAGCTTCTCAGCTGGACCTAACGCAGATCACGGAGCATAAAGATTCCAAGGGACTGACATCCAGGGTCCGATTAACAGCTCAACCGGCGGATCTCCCACCGCTTGACCACGAGCTCATGCACACACTCTTCCATCGACCATACTTTCACGTCCATGTGGTATCAGACGTAGCAGGCGTCTCCCTCGGCGGTGCCTTGAAGAACATTGTGGCCCTCGCCGCCGGCTTCGTCGCCGGTCTCGGCTGGGGCGACAACGCTAAAGCCGCCATCATGCGCGTGGGGCTCCTTGAAATGCGCAAATTTGGAAAGATGTTCTTCGAGAACTCAGTTCGCACCGCCACATTCACCGAGGAGAGTGCAGGTGTAGCCGATCTGATTACGAGTTGTTCTGGGGGAAGAAACTTCAGATGTGCGAAGATGAGCGTTCAAAGGCACATGAGTATTGCCGAGGTGGAGAAGGAGGAATTGAACGGGCAAATGTTGCAGGGAACGAGTACGGCGAAGGATGTTCATGGGTTTCTGAAGGCGAGGGGGAAGGAGGGCGAGTTTCCTTTGCTTACTAGCACCTATCGTGAGTCAAGTCCATTCGAAGGTTTGAGAGGTACCTCTGCTAACCTTATGTCGTAGTAATCCTGCAGGGTGAGGCCAAAGTAGAAGATCTGCCTGACCTGATTGCAAAACCCAACCTATTTTAGACACGTCGAGGGAGAATGAATGGAATACAGAAAGTGAATACAAGATGCTGTGATATGAAGCCAAGCGCTCAGGCCACGAGATTTTGGCGCGTTTTCTCTCTATGAACGATCCCACGCGTCACCATCTCACACTTTTCATTATTCCTTTCCTCCCGTCATGATTAGATCCAATTGATGCAGTGAGTAGTACATCTCCACAATTTCCATACAATGCCCGTGGCATTTTGATTCATCAGCACCATTTCTACCTGTGCAGAAGTCCACCAACTCAATCTACCCAGCAGCAACTTCTCTCACTCAACGATCTTCTCCCTCTTCGGCCTTCAATCGTAAACCTCGCAATAAGCACCAAGCACCAAGCACCAAGCACCAAGCACCAAGCACCAAGCACCAAGCACCAAGCACCAAGCATCAAGCAATCATCACCTACATGCCGGGCATTGCCGCTATATCCTAATCGGTTGGACGCCAGCGTGAGACTCAAGTCTACATCTCACGAGGTACACTTATCTTACTGCACACCCATTGTAATCTAATCTGACCGAGATCTATCCGCAGGCTCAAACCATGCCGCAAACTTCGCCCTCTCATAGGAGGAAGTCTACGACCTCAACATCCACTGCAGGGACTGGCGCCTCTTCTGCATCATCTCGGAAACGAAAGAGGACAGCCTCGACAACTCCAGCGAGTCCACCGCCGAACAGCAGCAAGCGTATAAAGACAGAAACGAGTGCTCCGACCGAGCCTAAGTTGGCGAAGTCGGTGGGCAAGGTGTCAGAGTGAGTCCTTCCCCTGCCTACGCTTACTGCAAAGACTGACGAGGCACTTGCGCTACAGCTCAATCTACGATACCATCATCGACTTCAAGATTGGCGAGAGTCTCACTAGTTTTGGCATTCATCGTGGACTTCTCTGGCGTACGTCGTCGTTCTTCAAAGAGAAGCTCTCTATTAGCGAGACAACGGAGGGCGGCATCGCTGCCCGAAGTATTGTCATGAAGAACGAAGATCCAGACGTCTTTCGCCGTTTTACAACATGGCTCTATTCCAAAACCATCATTTTAGAATCAGAGAACTACAAGACTCTACCTTGGGAAGTCATCATCCAGACCTACTCTTTCGCCGAACGGACGATGATACCCGGTTTACAAAACACTTGCGTGGACACGGTTATCAAGAAGAGAAGGGATGGAGGACTATTTCCCGCGCAGGGCGCGGTCAATACACTGTGGAGATACCCTGGAAAGGTATTCCGGCTTCGAAGACTCCTTCTCGACCTCTTTGCTACAGAATGCAATCTTTCGAACGCGCTCGCAAATAATGGCTCTTACCATCCGAGATTCTTGCAGGGATTGGTGCTTACGCTTTATGAAATGAAGGGGAAGCGGACCATGTACAATCCGGTGGACTTCTGGCAGAAGAGGGTGAATTACTACGTCGATGACAACGAGAACCCAATCCCCCTCGATTGAGACCCTCGGCAGCTTGGAGTCCTTGCTCGTCTCAGATCACAGTCGCTCAGCGTTCGCGGAGAGTTGGTGCAAGGGTTTTCCATTGGCAACATACGATATCTGTGCATCATCTGCAGGAAGGGCGAGAAAGAGGGAGGCTTTGACCGGCATTATCACACATCTATATCATTACCAAGTAAAGGAGCTGCAGCAAGGATTGTTCACCAGCATTATACCAGTTCACATAGCATTCGCGAAGGCTCTTTCAAAGGCATATCATGTATTCAGCTCTCAGCTAGCCACAAGAATCAAAGCTACAGCCGACGCCTCCGATCTCATTCACGCAACCGTAGCCATCTCTCCTCCACAGACAGCCCCACCAACATTCCCAATCCTCCCATCCACCACCCCATCATCTCAACCTCCTAGCTTCTCTCTCCGACTCAAGCAGGCACAGGATATCATCTTCGCGCACTGTAGACACCCCACCTGTCAGCACTCACCCGCCAAGCTCATCACGAGCGCAATGGGGAGGATGGTGGAAGCGTACCGGCCCCCTTGACGTTGCGGATGATGGAGCGGGTGGTATCGTCCATGAATTCGACGCGGACCTGTGTGACGCCTCCTCGGGAACCTGCCCACATGCCATCAGCACCCCGAGACCACGAGTACGGGAAGGAACAGCGCGGCGGTGGGGCGTGGCAGCTGGGACCGGAGGAGAGGGATGCGTACCTGTGCGACCCAGCACCCTGGTCACCTTGACGAGCTTGACGGGGATTTTTCCGGAATCCATGGTGGCAGCAGAATCTAGTTGAGGATGTAAAAGGTTGTGTCGTGAACGCTTTCGCCGAAATTCGAGAAAGTTTGTGTGGGATGCGGCTATATCGGTGCCAAGACGCTACTCCTGTGATAGGGCTGGGTGAATGCGAGAATTTCCGAGGCCTCAAACGAGAGACCCGGAGAAAGCTTTTTCTCTGCATGTAAGTATTCCCAGTCGGCCATTTGGATATGTGATTGGTCTGAGTTGTCACTGACTAAGTACATCAGGAGTCTTCTACATACTGGGGAAAATAACATAGCCAGCATCTCAGCAACAACGCAGCACACAGACCACTGAAGCCTCAAGAACGGCCCACATGCCCGTTACTCTGCCCAAGATTGAAAGTCTACGACAAGCAATCACAAGTCCTTGGTGACCAACAGGAGAATCCATACCCGACTTTTTGGACAGCTTTTGCAGTTCTGAGATCTTAAGCATCAGCAGAAGAAGAGTCTCCGGACTTGCGCAGCGATGGATCTTGTCAACCAGTCAGTACTCACGAAAGTCCATATTTCCCTCCCCTCCTGCCTATGGCCCATAAATGGAACCGAAGCTGACTCCAAACAAAGCCTAGAAGGCCGCCTCCTCTTCGCCGTCCCCAAAAGTGAGCATCTCCGTCTCCCTCCCGGAACTCCCCACTCACGTCCTACACTCCAGAGGGACGACTCCAACAAGCCACCCTCGACCTCCTCGCCGGCTCCGACATACAATTCCGTCGCGAAACCCGCCTCGACATCGCCCTCGTCAAGAATCACCCCATCGCCCTCGTCTTCCTCCCCGCCGCCGACATCCCGACCTTCGTCGGCGAAGGCCGGGTCGACCTCGGCATCACCGGCCGGGACCAGGTCGCCGAACATGAAGCGTTCGTGCCGGCCACGGAAGATACGGGCGTCGAAGAGGTGCTGAACCTGGGGTTTGGAAGGTGCAGGTTGCAGGTGCAGGTGCCGGAGAAGGGGAAGCTGGAAAGGCCCGAGGAGCTGGTGGGGAAGAACGTGGTGACGAGCTTTGTGGGGTTGACGGAGAAATACTTCGCGCAATTGGAGGGGCTGGAGGGGTACGAGAACGGGGTCACGAACGGAGATGCGTCTGTGAGGAGCAGGCTGAAGACGAAGATCAAATTCGTGGGTGGGAGTGTGGAGGCCGCTTGCGCGTTGGGCGTCGCGGACGGGATTGTGGATCTCGTCGGTGAGGAACAGACTCCCTTGTACCCGTAAAGGTCTACTGATCGCGACCCAGAATCCGGCGAGACGATGAAAGCAGCCGGCCTCAAAGCCATAGACACCGTGGTCGAGAGCACAGCAACACTGATCAAATCGAAACACCCCTCGAATCAAAAGCTCGTCGACATGATCGCATCCCGCATCAGCGGCGTCATCAGTGAGTCCTCCCCCCCCACAAAACCGCCAAGCTCACCCTATCCAGCCGCGCAGAAGTTCATCCTCTGCCAGTACAACATCGCCCGCGGCGGCCTGGAGACGGCCACCAAGATCACGCCCGGGAAGCGGGCGCCGACCGTCACGGCTCTCGAGGACCCGGAGTGGGTGGCCGTCAGCTCCATGGTGCCGAAGGAGAACATAGCGTCGGTCATGGACGAGTTGACGGCTGGTGGCGCGACTGATATACTGGTGCTCAACATAGCCAATTCGAGAACTGGATAATGAAACTTGAGCCTTTTGAGCTGGACCGGACTTCCTCTCACCATGAGCCCCTATGTGCATACAGAATCCCTGAAACTAAGTATAGTACCGACGGGTATTGATTGAGCATACTCTACGCATGCAATGGAAGATTGCTCTATTACTTCGACGACTGCCCATTCTGACCCCAGATCCTGCCAAATGACGAAGTATGACCGGATCGCAGAGCCAACCCGAGACGGAGGGCACTAACCCATGAGCGATTGAACGCAGAATCTTGACCGGCGATCCGAACGCATGCCAAACCGATTCAATCCGACCAACCGACCGGCCCCATCCATCTCGCCAAACCACACCCGGAAACCCTTCCCCAGACCCCTCAAACCTCACTGCCTGACCCGATTGATCTCATCGGCGGTCCAGACCGGCACACCGTCACCGCTCCGGGTCAAGAGATGCTTGTACTCGGCGTACAAGCGGCCGCTCCAACCGAAAGCGTAGGGGGCTTTGGCGTGCCTCTCGTAATGATTGACGAGGCGTCCGACTTCGACGATGCCTTGGTCCGGCAACCGAAGGTGCGCGGGCACGTGGCGGTCCAAGACCGGACGTGTCAGCTGCCGCTCTGCGCGCGACGGCCTTTTCTTCTTCTTCCTCACTTGGGATCCTTCGGCTCCGTCCCCGCCTTGAGCGGCTGCGTTTGCGGTTGCGGTTGGAGCGGTCGCCGGGGCCACCGCGGCGGCCTGTGTGGGTGTTGTCGCGGGAAGGCGTTCCAGTAGCACTCTTTCGAAGCTGGCGAGTTTCCTGTCCAGGTTCAGGAGAATGGCGTTGTTCGAGATTTCCTCAAGGGCGTGGTCACGTCGTCTTCGTGGAGGTTGCGGCGAAGGATGACGTTCGTTGGCAGCGTTGTTTCTGCGTATCAACTCGACGGGCATTGACTGATGTCGAGCACGCTGAGCACGGAAAGAAGCCTGCGGCTCAGGACGTCCGCTAGATGCTCCTGGCAGACCTTTGGTGATTTTCCTTAATGCCACATTTTCTTCTCCGTTAATTGAACTATCAAAGATGTGATGACTAGGTATATCGGCTCCGCTCCGCTTGCCTGGCGGAAATGAGTCTGGCTGGGTGGGATAGCCGCTGGCGTCGTCGACTATAGCAGAGCTTGGATGCTGGTCAAATGAGGAGCTAGTTGGATTCGTAGTGGTTTTGACTCTCTCATGCACCCACAGATTCTCCGGTAGCGTGGGTTTGTTGGGGGCCTCCTTGGGTGGCAGTGATCGTTCTGGACCGAGATGAAAGCCCAGGGAGCACAACTCCTTATTCGTGGTTTGCGCAGAACGTGACGAGCCTGCGGCATTGAGGGGAGGTCGATAGCTCTCTCCATAGCCATAGAATGCTGGAGGGGGAATACTTGACTGGGCTCGCCCTGAGTGATCACTACCTCGGTTATTAGTGGAAAGGACTTCATGAGCAAATCCAAATATCAACTCGAGGGACTGCTCGTCTCCACGACATGGGTAACCCTCTTCCCTAAGCATCCTCTTGCATGCATCAATGACCATAGGAGGGTGGATTGAGCCGCGGCAGCAGCTGATTTGCTTCACGTGCTCGAAGAAGTCGAGCTTGCCGCCCGGCCATGTCGCTAGACATGGCACGTAGCCTGGATTGCTCGTAAAGTACTCGGGCAATAGTGCACACGAACAGCTTCTGAGTACCTCGGGCACAGATACCTCTCGCCTTTCATAAGGCTTGCGCCATCCTTCATTAGGAGGTCTCTTCTGTTGCCCATTATCTCTCGATGCTTGACCGCCAGACTGGCCAGACTGCTCTTCATGCAGTTGAAAATCGCGTGCCTCAGCACCCGCTCTGGAGGAACGCTGCGCTTTCTGGATTGTGGCGCCCTCTGATGAACACCCGCTGGCCTCGATGTCTACATGACAACGGACATCATTGATACCTGATCTGTCCTCGGCCTTGACAGCGACCACTCCGTATCTTTGTGCTCCCTGTCTCAGGCTCTTGCCCGTCGGCGGCTTTTGAGCACTCATTTTCTTGCTCGAATCGCTTTCTTTAATAACGGTGTTCCTGTCATCACGAGTCGAACAATCATGAAAACCATGCTTCTGCGATTTCAATGATTTGTGTCGCTTGCGCGGTTCCATGTGCTTGCCCTCGTTGTCTGCCTTCCTCTTGTCCGTCTTCTGTGTCTGCTTATAGGTCTCCGCGAGTGATCTTCGCTCCGCTATTTTACCTTTCTCCTTGCGCTTTCCTGCCATCATGACTTGTTTCTTTACGGCCAACTGCTGGCGCATCTCCTTTTTGGTTTTTTTGTAATCGAACACCTCCTTGGGCAGTTCTACAAAATCAGCCTCCTCAAATCTTTTTCGACGAAGCTTTGAATTCCATATAGATGGTGATGGGAGCATTGGTGTCACTACTGTCTCGAGATTCGGCGAGCTTTGAGGTGCTGGAGTCGATTCTTTCTTGATGACAAGCGTGTCGCTGGCCCATGGTGGTGATTTTAGCGGTGATGAGTCCGATGTAGATCCCAACATTGCACTGGATCCAGTATTCGGACACGTAGATATATGCTCGCAAGGATTCCTTCGAGACGAAGTACTTGATGCTGAGCTAGGGGTTGCATCTGCCAGTTCTGCTGGCGAAGGGATATAATCGCTTTCTTTTGCTCCATCGGTGCCACAATCTGGCGTGGACCTGGTAATCCTCTTGCGCGCAGAATGCTCAATGGAGGGCACAAGATTCTTTTCGCTTGAAGCCTGCTGCCTCCGGGCTCTTGACGTCGAAGCGTTCGAAGTTCCCTTTTTCTTGCTTGGGGTTTGCATAGCTTTTTCGGCTTTTGCGACTGCTTGTCTGATATCGCCTTTGTTTTTAGACAGACCCGGGCTCTGCTGGTGGGTTGGAAGCACCGCAGCCCAGGGGCGCGCTTTGGGAGATTTCATACGATGGGTCTCGGGAGACGTTCGTTGTTGTTGTGCCGCTGTAATCATGACCTTTGGAGATACCTGATTTTTAGCCCTGTCCAGCTTTCGCTTTGCGCAGGGTGCTTGCTCAGGACTCAAAGCTGAAGCCATGCCTCCGTCCGTTTCGTGACATTGTTGGGACACGACATTAGATAACGGTCGCCTTCTTGAATGGGGCTTCGATGGGCTCTCCGAAGGCCGATTGATAGCTCGGAAGCTGGACATGTCAACTCTATGAAGTATCATTAGCCTAAAGTCGGAAGACTGTGTTGAAGGAATTCTTACCCTAGACCCTGGATGAAAGGTCTTGGCTTCGAGGACATCAGCACTACACTGCCTTATAAAGATTCTTAGCAGTGAATTCAAGAACCACCGTGATGTTTGAAAAGGGTGTTGGGTTTCTTGAGGTTGCGAAGACATAAAAGGAGTCAGCTCACGCGTCGTCGTCTTTGCACGCGTCGTCGTCTTTGCAAGGATATCAGACGCGTTCGGAGGAGTAACGCCCGTGATCTCGCTTCCAAAGTATTGCTTCGTGAACGCACGGTGTCGAGGTCATAGCGAGGGCAAATGACGCTTACACGAAGGCATTATAATTTTTCCGATGATGCCACCACAACCGCTCTACGAGCACAGATTCTTAGCTAGCGTGAATGACCAATTGAAAGATGTGATGATGCTCTCTCTGTCTACCAAGAGTGTCGTGTAGGCTCATGTTGTAACCATTTGACAGCAGCGCGTTGAGTGTCACGAAATATGACGTGCAAAATTTTGAAAAGTTCGTGCGCATAGGTAGATCTGCAGGTCGCTTAGGGATACATCGAGCCCGCAGCCTGGGGAACAAGCTACTGGACTCCATGGCTCCCAGGAGAACGATTTCCAGTTTGATCACGTGTTCGTCAGCTTTTGGAATAGAAGGCCGTCACTCCTCTAGGCAGTCGACTTTTGGAAGACCGGAAAACTTGTGAGCTAGAGAATGTTACTAGAAGCAAGAGTTCATAGCGTAGAGGTGGTGGTGACGATGTGAACACGGCTTCTTCGCAATGTCATCACTTCACCACGGAAGCGTTCAAGATCCAGGAGTATCGCTTCCGCAACTATGGAGACAGCTCGATAGGCGCCTTTTTTGATCCAGCTTTGCTCTTTGAAGCAGGCTTTGTAGATAGGTCTGCAGTCTTCTTCTCCAAGCCTTCACCACCGTCCTTCAGTTCGCGCAGCCTCCCTACAATCCAAGCCTTGAACGCTCTAAACCATCCTGCGCCTCCATCCTCAAGCCCCCCACAAATGGTTAGCAAGGCTTCATACCTCTGCCTTTCATTTGCCCCAGTAGCTTTCAACGTTTTTGCCAAATCAACAGGGCAAAGGTACGGAGGCTGCCGCACATCTTCTGCAAGAGAGCCTGTAGCTTGCATGACACAGGCGTAGTAGACGCAATGGTCCATGCCGAAGCAGTGACCTAGCTCGTGACTGGCAGTTTGGCATACGCGGGAGAGCCAGAGAGATGAGAGTTGAGATGGTGTTTGTGGAGTTGGGAGAGAGGCATGAGCTGATACGGCGGCGTTGAGTGGTGTCTGGTGAGAAAATGAGGCATCAAGCTTTGCTTTCTTGACCTTAGAGGGCGCTCCGCAGCATTCTCGCATGTACGCATCGCAATGAGATGCAGGCCAAGCATGTTCTCTCTCTACATCCTGTCTGTCGTCCAGGCTCGGATTGTATCTGGCTGTGGAGATGACAGCCACTCTGCTGCCTCCATAGGCTCGCCCTGCACATTTTGGAGTCAGCACGACGTCTTTGAGACAACATACCCAGAGTATGACAGATCTGAGGGTTGAAGCGCGTCTACTGTTCCGAAACATGTCTTGTGATTCAAAACCAGGGACTCGATTAGGAAGGTTTCGCTCCGAGACTTCGACTTACCGCAACAAAAGTCATCGTCTTCGTCCTCGAAAATATCGTGCTCCACGAGCATCAATAGGGCGTACCCATCATCTGGCAGTATGCTTATAACTGTGTCAAGGAGATCATCCAAGTTGAGCTGGCCCTTGA